CAACTCGTGAGCCAAATTTTGCATTCAACCGATACTGTATATTCACAATGTCAAGCTAATGAGAACTGCTTCTTATACCTTGACTGCAATAGCCACCTTTCTTGTATCACGAAATTTAATTAATTTGATTGGATTGTACGCTTGTGAATACAGCCAATCAGAGAGATCCGACTAAATAGCACAAACAGGCGCTAACATGAGCTAACAAGCGCAAACAAGTGGAAACAAGAGCAAATAAGTGTACACATGCGCAAGGGGAAAACAAGCGCAAATAATGGTAAAAAAACACGGAACACCTGAATTACAATCAGAGTCCTTGACAGAAAGTCAAATTAAATCGCTGCTTTCCGTGGTACAGGAAAGGTGGTTATACCTAGACCATTGTTAAAATGTCGATACTCTAGAATATTCTCATCTCTGTTTTCAAACTCCTTTTCAGTGAGTTTGCTCATTTTTATCTTAAGCTTGACGTCCTATATTCGCAAATTGCTAAAGCTCTTCTGTGTCCTGATGAGGGTTTTATATCTTAAATATGCTTCGAATATATACTATACATATCTGACATGCATTTGTCAGAGTCGGTGAAAACTATGCATGAGAAGTGGTCACCCTGCCTTTTCCCCTAGGGGTCAGTTAAGCGGGAAGATACGGTGACATGACTGGACTGTAACCGAATTCTGACCGGTGTATATTAGGTATGGTCCAGTTACTACCAGCTTGACCTGATTTGTGAAAAGTTTATGATCGAACACCAATAAATCGAATTGATTAATCTCTTTCTCCTTTATGGGTCAATTGATTATCTATGTTAGGAGACCCAAACCCTCCATAAAGGGATTGAAAAGAGGAATTCTCAAAAAATTATTTGTATAGGGGACACTGATAGCATTGATTTGCATCAGTACAATTTTCAATCGGACGTCCGTGGTTCTTGCAATTCCACAAAAACTAGGCGTTTTATGACGTCACTTTCGCAAAAGTCCTTATATCGTTAGCACCTTTGAAATAGTGACGACATAAAACACTTATTTTTAATGGAATCACATGAACCACAGACGTCTGATTGAAAATTAGAATGGTGCAAATTGATGCTATCAGTGTCCCCGATACATATATAAAATTTAGAAAACCTCTTTACAATCCCTTTAATGATTAGGCGTAGTCCAGTTTATTCATTTTCAAAGTTTTTGACCTTTTCTGAAAAATATATATGTTTACGATCAAATATCTAATAAACCCAAATCTTTTCATCATTAGACTTGAATAAACCTAAATATTTTGAAAAGTGAATAACAGTCTTCTCCCTCTTTGATTCATCTTTCCTGTGGTCTATTTGACTAACTCGGATATATAAATCGAATCATTTGGTTCAATAAAGATCAAAGAAAAAGGATGTTTTTTTATTAATTCAGATGAAATCAAAAGGATGTACATTGATGGACTTGGATTGTGAATTGAAATAGGATGGAGTTTCCGTACCAATGAACTTGAATTGGGGGCGGGTTGTTGAAATATTGAAGATGATACGCCTTTTTAAAATGAAATTGATAATTCAGTGTTTAACAGATTTCGAAATTTCGAAAAGTATTTCATTTTTTGTGATTTCTCGATATTTTTCATGTCGTTTTTGATATATTTCAAAGGGGTCCTTAAGATCGACAAAATCAAACGATTGGTCTGATACCACGAGGTACGACATGGCTCTACTTCGAGTTTTTCTATCCCACAATTCGTCATCGTGACAAGCACAACACATGTCACGCCTCGATTTTGATTGGTTAAAAATCATGTCCTTAGAACGGGACTGTAAAAAAAATGTTAGATTACAAAGGAGACGACAAATATGAAAAAAACAAAAACGAAATGGAGCATGCAGTGTTTCTGAATCACCCAATGGTGATTCCGTTCCAAGAATCAGACAACACGGAAAGTGTCAATTAACCGAATTTTAACTTCAAGAGAGGATGATAAAAGAACAGTCAAGGCCACGAAAGGATGAAATGTGACGTATTTTGATAATGACTGAAAGTGTTTTGATTCAACGAAACATTGCATTCATTTCTTTCAAATAATTCACGGAAAAGATTAATTGAAATGATAAAACGTCCCCACGCCCAAATTTCACATCTAAATGGTGTCAAAACTGTTTTTAAGGAGAAATCAATTTAATTCGATAAATAGAAAAAGATGTCTTTGTCTTTTTAGTTGATGAGTCACTGTATACTTACCAGGTGCAAATTCGGTTATTGACGTCCATTTTTAAGGGCAAAATATGCGTTCTTTGACTTTTATATTATATAAAAATGGACACGTCGTGTGACCCTGAACATTTTAAAAGCGGCATGTTTGTCTCTAATGCCTGAGCTACCAGAGTTAAAGAGTTAAAAGCAAGACAGGGATGTATATTCTTCTCGTGGTTTCTGCTTTAGATTTGTCAACTCGGCATCCCTTTTAGTTGATCCACATAGCTTATAATGTTTATTTCGTATAGACTTTGCATTTAATTCAATATTCATTTCAGAGAGTTCACCTTACTATTGTTGATGGACAAAGTCCACATATCTAATAACTTTTATTTGGTATTTTGGTTTGTCAACTCTGCAACTTTTCTTTCAGAGAGTCCACATTGTAAATAATAATTTTAGGATTTGTCTACTCATCCCATGACTCCCTCTTCCCCCCTCCGACCCTTTAGAGAGTATGCACAGCTAAGAAGACTCTGTGTCAACTTAGCCTCCATTTCAGAAAGTTCAGAGGTATGTAGGTTTTTCAATGAGTCCAAAGTCCACACAGCTAATAAGTTTTTTTGGGTATTTTATTTTGTCAACTCAACATTCTTGCAGAGAATCCACAGAGCTAATTATCTATTTCTGACAATCTAGCGACCTATCAAGTCTAATTAAAAACTAGGGTAATTATACATATACAAGTCTGAGTGTTATGTTCAATTTTCGTGACGGATCGTGCATATTTAAAAATTAATGTTTTTTTTACATAAAAACATAATTTGAGAATTATAATGAGAACGACATGTGTCTGAAGGGATATTCTCCTAAAATCTTCGCTTCAAATGGAATTTATGGCAGGATACCAGTTTCGTCTTCATTTCACTAGAAACTTTCATAACTAGTAGAAGTGACGTTAGATCGCTTATAATCAAATCGAGGTTGAAAAAACTAACGGAAGTGACGTAGGTTTGTTTTTAAACCAATTACTGGCGGACATGATGTTATATGTTCATTTTGGATTCAAAGTAAATTATTATTACGGGAAGAAATGATGTCAGGTACGTAAATAATCTATAATAATAAGTGACGTTAAAAGCCGATTTTTTCAAAAAGCTTAAACAAAATGGCGGAGTAATTGTGGTTCCCAACCTTTTTCAGCCTTCAAATCCTTGGAACAATAACCTGGACCATTCATCCCCCCCCCCCCCCCAAACAAAAAAATTGTTTCATCCACATTTCCAGCATGTGATGATGTGAGGTGTTCTCTCAATTCAAAATAAATTCTTCTCTTACACCAGTTGACAACACCCCTGATAGGTTGGGAACCAGGGGTCTAAAACATAGATCAAATTAAAGACACGCTATTTTTCTTAAGATATCCATAGGAATTTTTATAGTATTGTGAAAAGTGATCTGGGTAGTTAACAAGTGGGCGACATGTTCAATGTATGTTTAGACGACAGCATGCCTTTAAGTTGAAACAAAGAATGAAAATGTTGATAATTTGTGAAGTCTATAATAACATAGGCCTACTTTCGTTTTAGTTTTATTCAAGTTGACAATTTTTACTAATCTGAAGATTTCTGACAAATTTTTGGCTTTGACAAGAAAATAAATACTAATTTGGAGAGATTTGTTTTAAAAAACGACTTTCTTTTTGTATGAATGAGCTGCGATATCTTTTTAAATTTTGCAGACTTTTTATGGTGTAGCACAAATTTAGAATAAAATAAGAGTATACAGGGGGGGAGGGGGGGGGGGGGGTTTATGGATGAATAGCACCAGGTATTTAAGAGCGCAAATAATATGCTATTTGAAACTGTAGCATAGATGGAGAGGGGATAAGGACCGGACTAATTTTTTGGGAGCAAGACCTACATAAGTATCCGCTTATCACAAGCACGCTAGGACATCAGGGTTCAGTAAAAACGTGCGATAATAACGTTCAGTAACGACAGAAAACAAATATTAACATATCAAGAAACATAATTACATATATGTATATCAAAAGATCGACAGAGGAACTGATTAAAAATTCTCAAACGAATAATTCACATCACGTTCAGTAACGCTAATAATGATCGAAAATAAATATTTATTCACAGAAATATTAAAATTCATGGCCAAATTTAATCAGAAACGAAAATATTATATTGAATAAGAGCGAGAACAATTGGCCTGAAACGGATCTAATTCAAAATGTCCATTAAAGTAGGATGACTGACGTGTATATTAGAAATCCAAACAAACATCTTCAAAAAGTTTCTCCTATTTCACGTCGAATCAGTAATCGAATTATTTTAACAATCTCCCTCTATCTGATAGAATTTCAGACACCCGCCCAAAACTTCAGACTACATCTCATCTGCCAGGCTCAGGTCACGTCTGCTATTGTTTCCCGCCCTTTTATCCAATACAATATTTCGTTTCGATTTATTTACTAGTCTAAGTGTCTGTTGATAAAAATAAGACGTCGGATCGTGGATACCACACGAATTAATGTGAACTTAACAACATTGTTTTAGTTACATTTACAGTTAGTTCTTCTCGATGATTCGATACGTTGTCCGATGACAACATACGACGTGCGAGTCCTGTAGGTTATGACCGAAGGCACGAGTTGTGCCCCTTCCTTTAATTATCATTGATTGTTTTTGTTTCAAACAAAATACCCAGCAAATGAGCCTGGTTCATAAGACAGATAAAACACCTTCCCTCGTTCTTTTATGACATTTGATACCCTTCCCCTCGATTTATCCTACACATAAAAACAACATCTCAACCATTTTTATTTGATTTCAACTGAATTTCAGAATGTTTCAGATACTTCTCACAAAAGAAATCCTTTCCTTTCTGAGTTTTGATTTGAGTTCTGAGGTTGAACTGAAACAGAAAAATATCCGTTGTGTTGTAGAGTTCATCGAATTTCAAACTGGCTTCACCCCACAGGCTGTGATCTTTAATTGTATGGAAACCAGTCTTGTTCTGAAGTCCCAGAACGATGGTAGGCAAGGCCAGCTCATTCATTAGTCCACTCGTTAGGCTCTTGTTAGCAGCATGGATAAAGTTCTCCTGAAAGCTTGCAGGAATGTAAAAGATATTCCATCCACTATAGTAAGCAGTATTGGGTTTGGTGTTTTCGGAAACTATTTCTAGGAATGATGCTGAAAGTGGTTCCAATTCACTCGTCTGTTGCATTAAAGTGAAGAAATTGGACCAAGCAACTTTTCCGCATTCTTTAGCCCACCAATCCCAATACTGCATTTTATCTTGCGTGGCGTCGATCGTTCCCATATTTCCAGCTAGCACTATCTTATCTCGTGGAAGGTTTTGTAGCATCCATGGATTGAGTAAAGTGTCACACTTAATTTGCATATAACCTTTGACACCAAATTTGATCACCATGGCAGCCATCATGCATCTTTGTTGAAAGAGTCCTTCACGATCCAAACCGTCTACAAAATAAAGATCCAACAAGGACAATGGATAATGAAGCTTGCTTAAAATCTCTTTAAATTCGTAAACATCCGAGCCACAAAACATGACGTGTTGAAACCATCGTCTGTACATAAAATCCAAAACCGGAAGTTGACTAATGTCGTCTGCGTTATTGACAGTTATGATCAGCAAAATGTCGCTGATTTTCGGATCATGCCAGTGAAATTTTAGACCTTTACAAGTATTTAAGATGTTGGAATATTTCATCAATGAACGTTTTGGAGGATTTGGATTTGATCTTGCAGAGAAAAACAACTTAAACCGGAAATCGTCTGGTACCACGAAAGAGTCAATAACCGGAAAGTGATAATTAATTGCTGTCAGATCCTTGCAATAGTCATTCCAAATATCGAATATACTGGGCGGAAAAAGTCTTCGTTTTATAAATTCTTGAAATATATGTTCAATGCATTTCGTAATTTGTACGGTTCCTTTGTTACAGTTGATTTTATTTAAGCTTTCTAAGACGTCAGTCACAAAAATATCCGTCTGTGCAAAAACCTTATTAGTTTTATTTGATTTCGAATGAGGTTCGGATATGGGATTATAAATGCTAACAGTTTTACCCATGGAATGAATAACTTTCTGAACCCAAAATGAATCCAGTTCTCCATAACCAAGAACACTGCGCATGATCGGATGTATCATTCCCCAGAATGCATCATGATGAAATATAACGTCAAGTTGGTCCAAATTGACGTAACCGTTCCGTGACAGATGGAACTTTTCTGGAGATTGGTCATCGCCACTGTTTCCCGCCTTTGTCTTTCTCGTAGCAGACAATAAAAGTGGTCTGATTTCGGACGCAGGTGAGAAGATATGATCATCAGTCAAAAGAACCGTCCGTAATGAATATGGATTGAAAACTGCACTTCCGGTATGTACCAGACCAGACGTCTTGGCAGCTGCATCCATGTCTGAGAGGGACTCCAAGGGAACTCGATCTATTTCAAACGGCAGTATCAGTTCAGCTCCTAACAGAATAGCAACCATTTGACCAATCAGTATCTTCTGTGGTCCTTTAAGATGTCGAGCAACAGAAAAATTCAGGATTTCCATCTCAAAGGGTCCCACATAGAAACATTTTGGTGGTCTGAAATGGATTTGATATTAGGGAAAGTAAGAAAAGTAATGAAACAAACAACCATTTTCTTCAAGAATCATAAATTAGGTTAATGACGATCCTTTCTACCAGCTGGTCCTTGGCCAAACCTCTTGACATTGATCTTTCCCAGATTATTTGTACCGATTTACAGCTGGGTTGGCTGGCATGATGAGGAGCAATGACTTATTCAAGGTCAACAGTCTTTCCCGCGCCGACCAAGATTAAAATCCACGACCGCCATTTGTCCGACAAATCTAAGCCCTACGAATTCTAACGCGCTAAGCCGTTGTGAAACAGTCCGTTCCAAACACCAAACATCCTAACAGCGAATCTAGTGTTTTTTTGTTGTGTTTTTTTGTTGTGTTTTTTTGGTCAAAATAATGCATATTTCGAGCAGGACAAAGGGAGACAATCTACTTCACTCACCTACATGCGCTGGGCCCGTCTTGTGCTTCACCAACCAGTACTGTTCCCCAACTGGATAAATCTAAAACATGAGTGACTTCCCCTGTCCAGTTTCCCGGTACATACGTCACGAGCCACTTGTCTTCTTCTACACTGGAAGAAATTAAATGGAGTTTTACGTCCCACTGTTCTGAAAGCGGTTCCATTATTATCTGATGCAACTTATGATTTTTGGAAATGGAGGGTTCGATTCTTCCGAATGCACAGACCATGGGTGGAACAAATATTTTGTTGAAAGGACGTAGTCTAGAACATATTATGTCTATGGAATTTCTTTGGCCAATGGGAACATTTGGTGGATTATTGGATTGCATGGAATAATTATCCACGAAATATTTTTTTCCCTTTAAATAAACATTTCTACCTGATACGATGGTAGTATTGCCTAATGGTGTATTGATCCAAGGGAAGTAACCGGGCATAAAACATATTGAGAGCTAAATACAGACCAATAAAACATAACATCCATTGAACTAGTTTCTTTGGGCTGAATCGAGCTGAAATTATTCAAAAAAGTAATTTCAAAATTCCATTAGCTTTTTTTCGTGGTAACATTCAGTGCGATGCAAACTGAACAAAAGCCGAAAAATAGAATTCAAGGATTTGTTCGTAGCCGTAGTCTGATTCAATTCACACAAAAATAATTGGTAAAATGCGATTCTGTAAACACTGTGGTCACACATTAATAATATATATTCTTATATGTTTTCTCCGCCCATACCCGGTTGTGGCACCTGCACGATAAAGACTTTGTTACAAACCTGGTGAGCAAGCTGAAGGAATCTTCTGTACCTCTACTTCCTCCATCCTGGCTTGGATCCAGATCCACCATCTGGGTTTAATCATCTTTTAAAATATTGTTGTAGACCTGAGTGCCACCATGTTTGTTTACCAGGCGGACTTGATTAGAAAAATTGACATTTTCGATCCGACTGGATATTTTATAGTCGGAAATGTCGGAACTGTCGAGATTCATTCATTCGTGTTCATTCATTCATTCATCTTGTATCATTTCATTCATTATGAATAGGACATTTCATTTATTACGAGTAGGACATTTCATTTCATTCATTACGAATAGGACATTTCATTTCATTCATTAAGGGTAGGACATTTCATTTATGAAGAGTAAGACATTTCATGTCATTCATTATGATTAAGACATTCCATTTCATTCATTAAGGGTAGGACATTTCATTTATTAAGAGTAAAACATTTCATGTCATTCATTATGATTAAGACATTTCATTTCATTCATTAAGGGTAGGACATTTCATTTCATCCATTACGAGTAAGTAAAACATTTCATTTCATTCATTACGATTAAGACATTTCATTTCATTCATTAAAGGTAGGACATTTCATTTATTACGAGTATAGCAAATTTCATATCATTCATTAAGAGTAGGACATTTCATTTCATTCATTACTAGTAGGACATTTCATTTCATTTATTACGAGTGCGACATTTCATATCATTCATTACGAGTAGGACATTCCATTTATTTACATGTATTTTCATCTATTATTATTGTATTGTATTATTTATTAAACAGTTCGATCCTATTCATATAAAAGGGACCATTCTGGGTGGTTGATAGTCTAAGAGGGAAGTAATTAGTCTTCAGAAGTACTAGAAATGTAGAAAAATCGCTTAAATCCTTCAAAATACCTCAAACTAGCAATTTCACTTTTAATTTCAATATACAATACAATATAGTATGTCTTTTCCATATATCACAGAGTCTCCAGAAAAGGCGAGTCGTCTTTTTAACTTTAAAACATGCATAATTCTGGACACACAGACTCAAATTTCGACGGTGTGCTTTGAACGCCATTACATTTACAGATTAGCTTAGCTAGGGTACGATTGGTCAAATGGATGGCGAATCTGTCCCTTTAAATTCAATATTATTGGTCTGATGTATGTAGGTAGACATTATTTGATATTTAAATCATAGTGGCGGCTGAAGAACTTTGGGAGGGGCTACCTTAATTTTTTTTAATGCATTCAAGGGAGGTCAGAAGGAAAAATTCAATTCTTTGGACACCCTTGTTCCTCTACTATTGGATCATGATCTGGTCTCTAGCCTATTGATGTGGTATCAAAGGTCTTTATTAGCCACCAAACCCTTCGTCCAACTGATTCACAATGTTTCATATTCTCCCGGAAATGACGGACCACCTTTGACATTGTTCCACATGATTCCCACGTTTTTAAACGGAGGGGAATTTTTCATTTTTTCCAGGTGACTTAGTTTGTCTAAGCTGGTGGCTAGGTACGTATCACAGAAAAAATTCTTTCTCGTTGAATTCACAAAGAAAGCACTGAGCTTAAACGGGTGAATAAAAAACTTTTCTTCATCGAAAAAGAGCCAGTAGCTACTGCGAGCGAAATCGCGCCATAAACTACCGTCTCTGATTCTAAAAATGTTTCTGTTATCGTCAAGTCCCATGAAAAGTGTCGGTATGGCTACCTCGTCCATTAAATGTCTCCGATGAGCTATTTTACTGACGTAGATAAAACGCTCGGTTATCCGGACCGGCGTGTAAAATAAATCACCCCCGCGATAAAAACTGTATTCTAAATTCATCACACTCTTTTTATACTGTTTTAAAAACTCCTTGGCTAGTTTATGATCCTCCATTTTCACTGCCGTAAGGAAATCGTCAAACACAAGATTTAGCGCTGCCCGACCTATGTCTAAATTCCACCAGAACCATCTGGCTTTCGGAGAAGTCCGGTTATACACGTCTACCAAGTTAGGTAGGATTATCTGGTCACGTGGTAGTCGAAACATATTCCAGGCATTGGCTAATGTGTCGTCACCGATTTGTAAAAATCCTTTGACACGGAAGTTCATCATCATTGCGTATTGCGTACACTCGTACATATAGTACCAACCTTCTGACAACCCTTGCACGTAGAAAAACGTCCCCAATTGAGGATTATCGTGTACAATTTTTAAGAATTCTTCCGGAAACGGTCCACAGAATAAAATGTATCTGAAATATCGCCTGTACATTAGTTCTAAATATAGAATATTTTTGTAATATTTGAACTCATTAAACGTCACAATTAACATGACGTCATCGATGACGGAATCGTACCAATTCAAATTCAGCTGGGGACATACGTAATCAGCTCTTGTGACGTCAATGATGCCTTGAGAATAATTTTGCAAAGATTCCTGGTAAATGTCGGAATATATATTAGTAGACAGAAACATTGGAATGTCTGTTTCGGCTTCGAGACTTTTGAGCAGTTTGGTCATTGGCGGCCATTTGTAATTTAAGTACCCTAAAATGTTAATCCATTTGATTAATTCATCCAGTTGTGATTTGGTCAAGTATCCAACTGACGTCATTTCCCGCGCAATTCTTGAAAAACACTCGGACAGTCTAAGATCTTTGCATTGGTTCTTGTTTAAAAATTCCACCAGTTTCAAATCTACAGATATATCCAGATCGCGTGTTGTTGTATTTTTCACCAAGCATGGTTGGAATGGAATAAAGGAGATATGAAAATCCAACTCGTGTAAAAGTTTTTGAATGAGCAACATGAATGAAGTTGTCGTATGCTCACTGAATACATTCCATAGCAACGCCCAGAAAGCTTCGTATCGGAATAACACGACAGTAGGTGATGCTAATTTTGAGTAGTGCCCAGAACCAACGTACAATGGCGGCAATTCTTGACGATTGGATGGATGTGTTGGAATAAAGTCTATTGTATTATTTGTATATGTAAATTGTTTACACTTATACAGAGGTACCTGAATCGCCGGATACATCTCGTCTTTGAGTGTAAACTCAAACGGAAATTTTTCCTCAACGTTTGTCGATCTCTGTCGCCTTTGAGTCAAATTTTTTGAAAACATTTCCGGATCGAAGACGCGACTTTCGTTATAAACGATTCCACTCACTTTGTGTTTAAATGAAAAAAAATCCAGGTTGCCAAGGTAATGAACATCGGACGACACTGTCAGAATGTTTTTGGCGCCATGTTTGATGGCGTAGATGTAACCATAGTAATGTAAATCATCAGGTTCGACTCCAAGAATATAATGTTTTCTCAGTTGTCGTATGACGTCTGGCGATAAAAATACACAACTGGGCATTCTGCAATACATGAAACGAAGAACATATAAACAGCACTATGTTGACTCTCTGAATGAGATGCTAATTTTTCAACCCTAAATAGCCAAATAAATATATAAGCTTTGTGGCCTCTTTCTGACTAACCCATATGCCAAAAGCAATGTCAGCTATGTGGACTCTCTGAAAGGAATGCTGAGTTGACAAACACAGAAACTAAAAGCAATATTACAAGGACCCTCTAAAACAATTGATGGTTGTATTGTTTACCTGCAGAAGGTGTGCACTACGTCATCTATCCCTGTGATAACGATCCTCCAACCGACAACTTCCTTCATAGACAAATTAATAGTGGTCTGATTTCTTGGAATATTTATAACTATCCAGTTTTGATGATTTTGACTGAAAAATTAAAATGTACATTTTCGAAATCGAATATTTTTTGGTACTTTATAGACATGGGCTTCAGAGAAAAAACTCCATACCTAAATTTACCCACCACACCCCATTGTAATTTTTCGGTTGGTTAAAAAGTGCTGGAAATTTGAACTTGATCTCCTTTTAATATGCCGTTTTGAATTGCAGAGCAACGATGAGAAAAGACGAGATGCTATATGGTCGAGTGAGCCTCGGAATTATCTATACGGAGGAAACGATGAGAAGCGAGGTCGCCTTATTGAGGTGAACAAAAGAAAATAAGTTAAGAAGGATTATCATTGAACAGCTTGTTGACAGATTAAATTAAGGTCTACAAAATCAATTCAATGTATATTTCTACTCTACTGTTCTCCTTGGTGTGAGACAGTTCATTGACATCAGAAAATAACAGTCAACAGCTAAAATCTACTGGAAATAGTTTGACTGCAAACAGATGCAATGGATGACCGCAATGGCAAAAATCCTCTCTATCTGAATTCCGAAATAGGAGCTATTGTCTAGTGCTATGCCAATAATCCAATAGCCCAAGATCAGAAATCGGAGTAATGAACGAGTGCGATGCCAAGAAAACCTCTTCACAATCCGTTTATCCGGTTATCCGAAAATTTAAGAAGGTGGAAGACACCTACCTTTCGTAAATAAGCCTGCTAAATTCGGACAATCTGGTTTCAGCTCGTGTGGCGGTGTAGGGGTTCCCGTCACCAGCTTCTGGGGAGTCAGTAAAGAACACTCCAATCACTGTTAACATGTAACAAACACCAAACACCCACCGGAAAACTACCACAACTGAAATACGGCAACAGCCTATTATAAGATTTAAAACGTATTTAATGCAAAAATGTGAGACTTATCACAGAGTCAAATTTGCAAAGAATTGCTGACGTAATTCTCAAAAGTTTTCCGTAGCTGTTACCTTGTAGAATAAAACCTTAAGTGTTCCAACGATGGTTATGAATAAAAAATACCGGTTTTAATTTCGAACGCAACTTTCATTATTCGCAACTGGTAATCGCTAAGGTGCGAGGGTACCTTAATGAAGATTGTCACTTTTCTTGTATTAACTGCTAAGGGTTTGGAACGTTAGATATCAAGAGAATGGCAAGCGTTAGAAATGTCTTAGTTAGCTGTCAACAATAACTATCAGAGGCTAGGTAAGAGTCAGGATTTTCTAGATAGAGCCAACAATAGCGATCAAGAATAGCGGTCATAAGTTTCGAACGCAACTCACATTTAACTGAGTTGTGAGTTGCGTTCGGAACTCATAGCCACTTACATTATTCGCATCTATACGCAACTGGTAATGTTACGATGCGAGGACACTCTTAAATCAATGAATCAGCCTCGTTTGTCAATTATTCTGGAGGTTTTAGTGCAGATTTTTCGCAATACTAAATTAATTTTTACAGCTGGTACACCTTTTGATTTTATATAATATATGAATTCTGTCAAGACTTCATTACTTTTTCAATTTTATAAATGTCGCCAGTTGTTTAAATCTATATTTCTGCATTGAAAACTAAACATCAACTATCAAATATAAATATAAAGAAAAATTTGACATATAAAAATCAATGAGCAATATTTATCCAGTGCTGGAAGTGCTAATAAATTTCTTATTGTGTTTGACTAAAACTGTTGATCGATGTGTAGCAGATTTGACCTATTTGTAAACAAAAGAATCTAATGGTCAAGCCCGTTAAGGCACGAAGAGCGTGATTGCATGAAGGTGTTACAAGATGACAAATTGGAGACGTGACGTTGTGACAAAGTGGATGCGTGGCATTGTTGAGATATGACAGGGTTGTTGGAGTGATGGCATCATCAGATGGATTTGTTATGAAGTGACACGGTGGTGGCGTGATGGTGTGGTTACGCCAGTTGTTTAAATCTATATTTCTGCATTGAAAACTAAACATCAACTATCAAATATAAATATAAAGAAAAATTTGACATATAAAAATCAATGAGCAATATTTATCCAGTGCTGGAAGTGCTAATAAATTTGTTATTGTGTTTGACTAAAACTGTTGATCGATGTGTAGCAGATTTGACCTATTTGTAAACAAAAGAATCTAATGGTCAAACCCGTTAAGGCACGAAGAGCGTGATTGCATGAAGGTGTTACAAGATGACAAAGTGGAGACGTGACGTTGTGACAAAGTGGAGACGTGACGTTGTGACAAAGTGGATGCGTGGCATTGTTGAGATATGACAGGGTTGTTGGCGTGATGGCATCATCAGATGGATTTGTAATGAAGTGACACGGTGGTGGTGTGATGGTGTGGTTACGTGACGAGATAGCCATGTGACAGTTTTGATGGGGTGACGACATCATTGGTTGGTGGCGTGGCGTCACGGCGTAGATACCTGACAAGATTGCAATATGACAGGGTTTTTTGCGTGACCACATCATTGACTGGTGGCGTGACGACCTGGATACGTGACGAGATAGCAATGTGACAGTGTTGTTGACGTGACGACATCGTTCGATGGTAGCGTGACGGCAGGGTACGTGGCGAGAGAGCAGTGTGACAGCGTTGTTGGCGTGACGACATCATTAGCTGGTGGCGTGACGGTAGTGCATGTGGCGAGAGAGCAATGTGACGGAGATGTTTGCGTTTTGACATCATGGGCTGGGTTTGAATTTGAATTAAAAAACAGTTTGTATATTACTTATAAAGATGTTCACTTACCTTTGTGATGTAACATTTTAAATTTTAATAGATGAACGTCACTGGTACATTTTCCAATTCCCACGTCAGCAAGTTTCTAGCTAGCCAACAATTTTCAGCTACCCAAGACCAAGTAAAAGTCTGCAAGTTATTAACTAGCCAACTCTGCAGTCAACAATAGCTTTCAGGCTAGGCAAGAGTCAGCAAGTTACTAGATTGTTGAAAACTGTCAACAATAGCTTTCAGGCTAGGCAAGAGTCAGCAAGTTACTAGATTGTTGAAAACTGTCAACAATAGCTTTCAGGCTAGGCAAGAGTCAGCAAGTTACTAGATTGTTGAAAACTGTCAGCAATAGCTTTCAGACTAGGCAAGAGGCAGCAAAATCACATAAAGAGAATTAAAATCTCAGATTCAACACAATATATATAATCATCATGGTACACATGTGCACTGTCAGTAAAGTTTACAAACTAAAAAAAATCTGAATAAATAATCATTTCATTTCTAAATCGAATTCTTTCTAGTTGTTTTCTGGGCGTTCAACTAGTAGAACAATTTTATTGGTCTTTTTTCATCGGTATAGTGCAAAACATGTCAGCTTGTATTTAAGAAATCGATGCCGTGTTGGTAGGCCCAGTTGCTGAGTGGTGTCTTATGTTTTGAAAGAATGATAATGGCTCCTAGGTAGTAAGGTAGGTAGTATTAGCATTTAAAAAGGTTTTTGGACTTGGTCACAAGATGACAAAACAAGGACAGATCTGTCCACCAGCAGAGCCATCGGTCTATTTTTGCATAAAAAGGCAACAGTCTAAATTGCAAGCGCAATAGTTTGACACCAAATTACCCAACCCACACACAGATGCTATGGAACATCCTCAAAACGTAAAAGGTAGAATCTCCAAAATATCAAAATAATCACCTAGGCACCCAAGTATCCTGGCTCGCTTCCTCTAGCGTACCACGAACCGACAGGGTACTATAGTAGAAACGATTAGCCACTTACACAAAATCTCAGCGCTAGATATTGGTACTCATTCCAGAAAAATGCACTATCAAAGAAAACGACGTATCGCAGATGTTGCTTATGATTTAACACATATCAAAATTTCAACAACAGGACTCTTTTAAAAAGAAACGCAATCAATAACTTTGGTAACATTTGGCATTAGTTGATTTTCTGTATTAAAAATTACTATTACATTTAGATTAACCTTCAATTTATTAAACATGGAATTAAATGCTCATCGAGAAATTGATCGAGGAGCTGCAGCTTCCGACCATTCTGGTGGATAACAAAATTAACTTGATAGATATCAGATTCTGGCAACCAGTCACAAAGAACGACAACTGCTGTTTTAGTCAAGATACTGATGCAGCGGTCGTTGCTAATTCAGTTGCAATCAGACTTTGCCAGATCTACCCGAGAGGCACCCTCCACCCAACAGCTTCATGCGGGTGTTAACTGTCGTTGCACTCAGGAAGTCATTTTGGGTACCCTCAGCGAGAAGTCAAGTGACAAGAGTATTGAGGAAATGCATCATCTACAAACGGAATGTTGGTCGACCCTACAAGTTACCACAATCTCCACCTCTACCAGACTTTAGATTGAACAAGCTAAAGCCCTTTTCGTCAATTGGTATAGATTACACAGGTAATCTAACTGTTAAAGGGATTGATAAGAAGAGATACAAATGCTACATCTGCCTTTTTGCATGCAGTACCACTAAGAATGTTAATCTAGAGGTTGTTACAGATTTGACTGCTGATCATTTATACAAGCTCTCCGAAGACATTGTGCAATATATGGTGTACCAGAGCACATCATCTGTGATAATGCTAAAACATTTGTCAAAGCTGAAGAAGATCTCCAGATTTTATTCAAACTTACAGCTGATGATCTGATTAAAACACATCTTACAAGGAATAGGATTAAGCTACATCATAAACTCGACAGAAGATCCAGAGCCTTTAACTCCGTCAAAACTACTTCAGGGATTTGATGTTACACCACTACCACATCTTCTTGTCGACAATGATATTGAAGATGAAGATTTTTCAACTCATGACAGCCTAAACTTAGCTGTTCAAAGACGTTCCATGTTGTACAATCATTTTGTAGAACGGTTTCGAAGTGAATATTATTCTACCTTAAGGGAGTGTCATGTTTACCAATCTAAGAAGTCGGCAACAACTGATGCATTGATCTCCATTGGTGACGTTGTTCTTGTCAATAGCAATGATTTGCCAAGATTACTATGGAAATTAGCCATAATTCAGAAATTGTTAAAAGGCAAGGATGGTAAAGTACGGGCAGCTCAGATTCGAACCAATAATGGGACTTCCACTCGTTCTTTACACCTTTTATATCCCTTAGAAGTGTCGCTGTCCGATCCTGAAGAGTTTTTCAAGAAAAAAGAGAAAAACACAGAAATTCCACAGACTGAATTACGTAGAAGTAGAAGGATAGCAGAAAGTTCAACGCCCCGCCCCCAATATGTGTAATCTGCAAAATAGGTCGGAGTGTTTCGGACTATAATTTATTGATATACAATGTAAAAGTGTCTGGATGTTAGAGACTATCCTATAACCACTTCCTCTGCATGTTTTTCTGAACAGTTGTTGATTGAACATGTGTTGTGTAATATAGTGTCTATATTTCCTCTTGTTATTTCATACTTATGTGGTATACCAACTCCCACAACCACTAAGTACATTTTTAGACCGAAGCTTGTCTGCTCCAATGCATCTTAGAGGTCTCGTAATAAGGTTTCTTTCCTTGAGTGGCTTGACTAACAATGAAAAAGGCGTCTAGTCGTTCGGAACGGACAATAAACCGAGGCCCCGTGTGCTACAGGGTGTGAACGTTAAAGATCACTCGACAGTTGTAGATCGAAAAAGAGCAGCCAGCCGCTGTCCTGGCAAAATTTCCCTCATCGCACCCTGCATGGCGTTGCCCGTCTTCATTAGCCCACATGGTGCAGAGAAGTAGGACGTAAAACTCCATGCATTTCATTTCTTTGACTAACAGCTTCATTTTGTAACAATATATTAACCAAAGAATCATCTGTGGTACTAGTTCACACAGTAAAACAATAGTTATAGTATATTTTACATGTACACGTATTGTAATATTAGTCTACACAGTACAACAAGAGTTGTCTTTCTTAGAAATTACTAACGAACACCGAATATTCTAATTATTTAGATCACAAGATGCACCATCTTAATGAATTAAGAACAATTCATGATACAAAAGAGTACAAATGATAACATATTAATCTTCACTACAGCGGGTCCAGTTTTCACATTGTCTACCCAGAGATTCGTGGATCAATGGATGTGCGATGAGGGTACCACAATATCGAAATAATCTCTCCAAAATGGCACATAAGACGTTTGTACTGCATCACATGTTTGTACTTATAAAACTGTTTGCCAAATCATTTCGTCCTACTTTGGTTCAACTATATATTGACACAATTCGTTCAGTAGGAAGACAAACCAAAAAAATATTTTGCTAACGGAACGCAGGATTGGTGTTCCTTTTAAAGAAGGGTCAGCAAGCCGTTTCTCACTACCAACACTGGCCGTCTACATTCTACGCCTTCCAAGTCTTCTATCATTTCAACATGAGTTCTCTGACATCCCGGGGAGTAACATTATAGGATGGTAAGGATTGTGACAAGGAACTATATAAGTCTTTATATAAAGTTTGATCTGGTGCTGATTTTCTTCTCTCGTTAAACCTCAATATACTCTTCTCTGCTTGAATAGCTGAAATAAATTTACAAATATAAGATGAGAGTAGAGGATAAGGAGGGTCGGACGGGTATGCTGAGACAGGGGCGTTGGAGGGGTAATATAAATATATAAATATATATATAAATATATATATTTATATATTAATATATATATAAATAAATATAAATATAAATGAATATAAATAAATAAATATAAATATAAAAATATATAAATATATAAATATATAAATATATAAATATATAAATATAAATATATAAATATATAAATATATAAATATATAAATATATAAATATAAATAAATAAATAAATAAATATAAATATAAATATAAATATAAATACAAATATAAATATAAATACAAATATAAATACAAATATAAATCATTTTATTTATATTTCTTATAACATACTTTCTCCTAAGGACACTTTTCTTCTTGGTTCCAAATCAGTTTTTCTCAAATCTCGAAACAGACGGAAATTGTTGATTTCGTTAAAAACCTGAGCTCTTCGGAAATAATCCAGGGGATCTGTCTGAAAAATAAAACATCCAAGGATTATTATCTGTTGTCCACAGAGCTGTCGAATTTTAAATTCAACCTCCCCCGATTAAGTCAGTCTGCCCTCTATTTGTACTCCAAATCTTGGGAGGCTAGCGCGGCCACTGGGTACTAGGTAGCAAGGTGTAAGTCTGAAGAAGTAGGTATGTTTCAATTTCCCTTAGCACACAAATAGAGTGAGGCAGCTTTAAAAAAAAGCGTCTAGTGGTTCGAACTGAACAAATAACTTGGCGGCACATTGTATCATGAGCTAAGCTGGAAAGAAGCGCAGGCACAGAACTTGTTTCATATACCTTACCCTACACTGAAGTCTTTAAATCATAAGTAATCAAGTTTTTAAAGGCTCTCTGACCTTTCGACGTCTGTGTAAATCCATTCCAGTAAAAATCTTCAGACAGTTCGTATCCCTTCTAAAGTTTGATAAGTACAGATTTTCAGATAACTGGACTATTTATCCGGAATTTCTTTTCAAGTTTGACTAGTAGTGGACGTTTGACTTGTTCAGACAGTCCGTATGCGTTAAAATATTGAAATGTAGTCCGTATCCCTTTTGAAGTTTACTAGTGATCTTCCGGCCACTATATTCACTGTTTTCCTATTGCTATCCTGTGTACCCAGTTAAAACCAACTGTGTTATAAGACAAAAGGCCAAGCCCGACCCAGAAATGTGATATCATAAGCTGGCGATAAACGTTTGAAAAGATTAGATATAATTATACTTGATACATAATATCATAATACCTATCTGACTTTATGGATTAATGATTTTATTGTACGATACTAATCTTAAATTACTCTTGACGTATGATCGAGTATAGTCTCTTTGAAGGTCGGACTGGACTTGAGAAAGAGGGGATAGGGGGCGAGGGGGAGGGGTACATGGATTGAATATCAAGTAAAAACTGAAATTAGGTTACTTCCTTCCATTGTGAATGATAGGTGATCCAGACTGTGTTTTTGAAAACTTTGACGAGTGTAATTTGCGGAACACCTGCATGTGCGGCTGCCCCCCCCTTTCCCCTCCAACACATACATTGGAAAACCGTCTTAACCCTAATTCATGGTCTGTATATCTAGAAATATTTACACAACACCACTAGAGGGCAGCATAATACGATACAACCACAACACATTACAACAAAAAACAAAAAAACAACAGAGTAAACACAAAGCGATAAAACAACGACACAACAACAGCAAAGCAAAATAAAACACAGCACAGACACAAGCAAACTACAAAGAAAAACAATACAACAACACAACAGTCAACACAAACAAAACAACAGCACAACAGCTAACACATCACAACACAACACAGACGCACCACCACAACACAACTGCAGAGGAAAAGTTAACAATCAAAGCAAGCATTGATGACTGCCAAAAGCATTTACATTTTCAAATATCATCACCAACCACAAGTACATAATTTTCGATTTTTAACCGAGCCATTTATATAGTTAAGTATTGAATTTAATGGAATAAAGTGTTTTATATGCCCCATTACCCATTACATTCCAGGCCTAGAGCAAAGCATACAAATAATTTTACTAGAATAATGCCCAAAATAATTATCAACATCTATCAAATGCATATCAATTTGCCAGGAGCCGTTTAAATAATGCTTTTAATTCCCTTGGTAAATATACACAGCAATTGACGAGTCTATACTTTAATGCCATTTTCCTCGAATTAATACACAAGAACAATGTAGCCTGAGTCCAAATACTTATCGATTTGTGATTATTTTTAGTACTTTTGTCCAAAATCAGGATCCCACAAGTGTGCTCACATTCCAATTCAATCTAAAATAATGGAAATTCATTATTCTCTCACACTTAGTATAGAAATCCGAGAATTTGGTTGATTGGAATTTGTAACATGACTCTACGGCATTTCAATTTTGGTCCAATCATGGGTGACAATCGGAATCTCGCATAACACTAGCACGACACGAAACAAAGAAGACAGATTGCAAATTTACTTATTGGAAGGGTTAGGGAAATAGGAATGAAATAGCCCCACCCACCAATCTCTTCTGCTTATTTTTAATCCGTTACGCAGTTCGTTCTGAGGCTCTTTCACCTTTTTTTCACGATGCTCTCTCATAGGTCCGCGCTTCAATTAACTATTTTTATTTACACCAGTTTGGCAATGAATTTGCCAGAATCTTTTCTGTATTAAGATAGTCTTGCCCGAGGTACTCAAGAATATCATCAAAAGCGTAGTTTAATATAGTTTAGATATGCTCCCTCATAGGTCCGCGATAAAATTTTCACAAATACTATTGTCTGAGAAAAGCCTACAAAAGATTTGATGTATTTCTATTTACAAAAAAAAAAAAAACAAGAAATAGAATATCAGCCTCCAAATGATACTGTTAGTTTAAGAAGGCATAGGTATTCAACAATACACGCTCTCTCATAGGTCCGCGCTTCAATAAACCGCATTAAACACGTTTTCATTCCATTAATTTGTATCTTATTTCAACATTTGAAGTGAGGAAAGTGTAAATAAACCTAATTAAAATATCAATAAGTCTAATTAAAAGATAAATGCAGGATGTTTTAGTTTAATATTTATTATTAAGTTGATATTTACTGACGATGGATTCCAGTCACCAAATCGATGAGTTCTTGTTTTCAATATAAATTGTTAGCCATCCTGTTTTACTACTTTATATTAGATATTTACGGTGGCTCACATACGACATATTTCACTTTTAATTTTGAATTAAAAGCATTAATTTTCACTTAGGCAAAAATTTATTTTAATTAAAAATTTTAATTTTCACCTAGGTGATAATTCCTGTAATTTTTAATTTAAAAATTTAATTTTCACCCAGGTGATAATATTTTTAACCAAGGTGAAAATTAGATGATAATTCGTGTAATTTTTAATTAAAAACTTTAATTTCCACCTAGGGGATAATTCAACGAATCTTGTAAAAAACGTTTTGAATCAAAAATTCTTCAATTATAGGTGAAAATTAAAGTTTTTAATTAAAAATTACACGAATTATCACCTAATTTTCACCTTGGTGAAAAATATTATCACCTGGGTGAAAATTAAAGTTTTTAATCAATTTTCACCAAGTAAAAAAAAAGTTTTTAATTCAAAATAAAAAGTGGAAAATGTCGTATGTGAGCCACCGTAGATATTAGATTTTAAATACCGTTTATATATTTATGTTAGTAGTCGCTGTCGCTATTCGTTAATGAGTTTACGATTTTGCTGGACGCTTTGGAATTTGCGTTGTGTTTAGGCGGTGTGTTGACGAGTAAGAGTGGTCCAGATTTGCTGAGCTCACGTATCTTCTTATATGGTTATTCCAAGTTTTCACTTACTTTGCGGGACGCTTTGAAGTTTGCAGTTGAACGAGGCTGCGTGCATTGACGAGTTTCTGACCATAAGCTACAGATATCTTATAGAAACATTCCAATATTCGTCTTATGTAGCATTGAAGCTGTTTTTTCAATTTTTTCCGGCAGCTCGAGAAATTTATTTAAGTGTATTGTGTTAAAAACAGATAATTGTTATGGTTATTTATTGATTTAAATTCAATTCAATCCGTTAGTTTTTGACGCGTGTTTTGGAAATATATTACACTATCAGGGCAGCTGCACAAGTTTCTAAAATGGAGAATACGACCACAGCCTCTGAAGAGGAAGAAGATTCTCCAATTGATCCTCGTATTTTATTCCCGGCGATGGTCATCGTCGTCTTCATGACACTTCTCGCCATTTTGGGAAACATTTTAGTGATAATTGCGTACCTTAAAGACACTAAGCTCCAAAACGTGTTGAATTTTTATATTTTTAACTTGGCCGTCACCGATTTTTTATTGGGAGCTATCAGCATGCCGTTCTATGCTGTTTATACTGCGCTTAACTGGAAGTGGCCTTTCGGTCGGGCGTTTTGTAAGGTTTATCTGGTGTGTGACTTTACATTGTGTTTACAGTCAGTGCTGCTAGTGATAGTCATAAGCGTAGACAGACTAATCCTCGTGCGTTCTGGAATGGAATACACCGTCAAACAAACCATGAAATCTGCTAAAGTGAAAGTAGCCGTTTGTTGGATTGCGGCTTTCTTACTTTACGGTCCGGCCGTTATCGGATTTGATTATTGGCGAGGATCTACCGTAATTTCGGACAGAGACTGCGATGTGGAATTCTATAACCATCTCACATTCACCTTAACGACGTCTATCATCGAATTTGGAGCACCTTTTCTGTCAATAGCAGTCATCAATGGTCTTGTGTTCGTGGAAATTCGTAAAAGAGTGAAAATCCGAGAAGGATTGACCGGACCAAAAGGTAACAGCAGTGACGTTACTTCTGACGTTCCCGCTGTAAATCAAACAGACGATACATCTGCTCAAATAGCAATAATAGGGACAGAGAGCTTTGGAAGTAAAGATAATGGTGGTGTTTCTGTCGCTACAGCAAGGACAAAAGTCGGAAACAAATCAGACCGGAAATCGTCTGAGAAGAAGAATATCAGATCACCGGAAGTGAAAGCTGCGAGGGCGCTGTTTATTTTGGTTCTGACGATGGCCATCTGCTGGACCTC